TCGAGCTGAGAAGGGGATGGGTATAGGCTGGTAGGGATGTGAAGGGGATGAGTATAGGATGGTAGAGTTGAAAAGGGGATGAGTATAGGCTGGTAGAGCTGAAAAGGGGATGAGTATAGGCTGGTAGAGCTGAAAAGGGTATGAGTATAGGCTGGTAGAGCTGAAAAGGGGATGAGTATAGGCTGGTAGAGCTGAAAAGGGGATGAGTATAGGCTGGTAGCTGAAAAGGGGATGAGTATAGGCTGGTAGAGCTGAAAAGGGGATGAGTATAGGCTGGTAGAGAAAAGGGGATGAGTATAGGATGGTAGAGCTAAGAAGGGGATGAGTATAGGCTGGTAGAGAAAAGGGGATGAGTATAGGCTGGTAGAGAAAAGGGGATGAGTATAGGCTGGTAGAGAAAAGGGGATGAGTATAGGATGGTAGAGCTAAGAAGGGGATGGGTATAGGCTGGTAGAGAAAAGGGGATGAGTATAGGATGGTAGAGCTAAGAAGGGGATGAGTATAGGCTGGTCGAGCTGAGAAGGGGATGAGTATAGGCTGGTAGAGAAAAGGGGATGAGTATAGGCTGGTAGAGAAAAGGGGATGGGTATAGGCTGGTAGAGAAAAGGGGATGAGTATAGGCTGGTAGAGCTGAAAAGGGGATGCTAGTTTTCTTCAATATATGCTCTGCATGATAGGCTAGTCACTAGTCCTTACAACTAGTCCAGAAAATACCAAGCTCACAGCACCAAACTATTTCATAAACATTTCTAACGAAAACATTCTTTGAAAATAGATTCAAATAGAAATTTGAAGGTATGACACAACATGTCACCAAGGTAACGAGATTAATATCCCTGATCTCCTCTCAACCTGTTTTGATGTGCCTCCAATTCCATAGTCTAACCAACAGCAAAATCAGTGAAAAGATGTGAGTGATCTTTGATACTATGAGCAAACAATGCTGTTTGCATGACAAGCGGAGTGAGTGTTGTCGACGACCAAGTATTAAGCAACCCACAATACTGTAGTGACAAATAGTGAGTGTCAGCTCCACTCCCGGCCACCTCAGGTTCAAATCAACATATTCACTAACTGCTGCAACGAGCACAATGAGCCAGCTGCACAATTTCTTTTTACACAAACAAAAGTATCACCAAAAAATCTCTTTATCATTGAAAATGCAATCATGAATTTATAACTGATGGCCAAATAATACTATTTTTAAGTGGGACATGTTTCATAAGAGACGTTCAAGCCAGCAAGTTCATATGAATTGTGCAGAGGAAGGGGGATGAAATGAGGGGGAGGGGACGAAATGAGGGGGGGGGGGATAAAGTGATGGGGGATGGGGATATCGAGATGGAGGGACATGCTGTCGGAGCTCCACACAAGGTTCAAGTAGCTGTTGAGAGTTTGAGCTACTGCTGTTTGCCACATTTTTACCATAGTCCTTGATAAGCCAACAGTAGCTACCATCTGCCTGGCAATTTTAAAATTTCTTCCACAAACCTTTTTTTTCCATCGTGAGGTTTTTGTCATTCATACACATCATTTACATTTGTATGCTGTGACGGACGACAATAGAGTACCCCAGTCTCACAGGGCTGGCAAATCACGATAAATTGGATGAAAATCCTGCTAATTTTGTCTCTGGGCCCATGGATGGACACTTGACAAGTGATTAAAAAGAGCAAGGGATTTGTGAAGAGGCTGCCTCCCATGCAGTGGTCAAACTGGTCACATATCGCTCCCGCTAACAACGTTAGGGTGACTGCTTACACACTGACCAGAGTGCCAAGGGAGGTGAAAACAGCAATCAAATTATTTTTGTGGCAGGGCCTTATACGTGAGATTGTCTCTTAAAGGGGAGCTATATTCTAGGATTGGTAGTTCCAGCAAGTTTGATCCAAGGCCCTAAAACACCACATAATTTACTTGTTCAGTTTTTTTTAATGCTTTGTATAAACCGAACAGTAAATAACTGCCCTAACTGAGTGAGTGAGTTGGGTTTAGTGCTACTTTTAACAGTATTCCAGTAATATCCTGGCGTGTCAGCTTGAGGAGGAAGGAAAGTCCGAAGTGATGCAGGTTTCAGACATTTACCTCTGGTGGAACCCACGAGCACGGGTATAGTGATGACAAACCTAGAAACATAATCAGGGCACAGCAATAGCGGCATCTTAGACAACTGAGCTAGCTCTGGTAGAAGTGTGCACTGGGCCTTGGAGCTAAGAACTCTCTAAATGTCCAGTACAAAGATGCTTACATTCTGAAACTTCATTTCTTCAGTTTGTTTGTTGGTTAATGGTGCTCTTAGTAATATTCCACCTGTAAATAATCGTCCGTACGGAATAAACCAGTGATTGATATTACGACAGTCAAGAGCACCAGCTGGGTACGATGACACACAATCATCCAAGTCACAGGGCCTGACTGCCTCAATGATGACGTCCCCCATTACAAGCTTCGGGCTTCTAACCCGGAATACCCGAAGTGTTAGTCTGTTCTTGAGACATTTCAATTTCTAGATGGATTCCAGGTTTTTATCATTTGTTTGTAAATTATGGCAAGGTCCAGCGTGTTGTGTACTCCTTATCGCTGCCAGTTACCACAGTTTGATTCAACAGGGTAGAGGAGTGAGTGAGTGAGTATGGTTTTACGCCGCTTTTAGCAATGTTCCAGCAATATCACGGCGGGGGACACCAAAAATGGGCTTCTCACATTGCATCCATGTCGGGAATCGAACCCGGGTCTTCGGCGTGACGAGCGAACGCTTTAACCACTAGGCTACCCCACCGCCCCTCAAAAAGGTAGGGAGGGCACTCGATGAAGGTAACAGGATGATAAGGAAACAAGCTTATTATATGCCCATTCTAACTTAATCAAACAATCATTTCTGGAAATAGGACTACCCTTATAATCGAGGGTCATTTTCAAAATAGAATCATGAATTCTTGTTAATGGAAGTTGTTAATGCCCACTCTAACTTAATCAAAGCTTTTTTCTGGAAACAGGACTAAAGTTCCCCAAATAATCGACAGTCATTTTCAAAGTGGAATCATGAATTCTTGTTCTTTATGGAAGTTTCTGTTTGGAACTGACAACCAGAAGGCCAGGACCAATTAGTCTTACACGTTAAACTCCTGTATCTTGACACGATGCCCACAAAACCTATAGCCAGAGCTCCAGATAAGCTGCGTATCTGCGTGAAATACGCATCAGAAATGCAGAAATACGCAGTAAAATAAAATCCAAGCGTATTAAATATGCAACGAACATTACAGATACGCTACAAAAATAAAACTTGTGTGTATCATCAAAATATTGTGAAGTAACCCTGCATATTCAATTAGCAAATCAGCAACTTATTTTGAAATTATAAACGGGCATTCCGTCATCCATATCGCCCTCCCATTGCAGTGTTAGCGTTTACAGCATCCCATATACAAAAATATGGACTGAAAAAAAAATAGGACGCAAAAAAACAAACATACCCGCGTCCCCTTACGCGTTTTTCATTTTGAAAAAAGTTCACTTCACGCAGAATATATTGTTGATTTTTTCGTGTTTCTCTCGCTCCCAAAACACATGTGCTAATGTGTATCCAAAATTTGCTGGGTTCCGGTGCTAGCCAGATTTTGGTGTGAACGCTGGAAACTGAGATATTCGATGACGTTTCTCTTCCATGTTGTGTCTAAATGGCATCACTGATTGGTTTACAAAACGGAAATAGAAACGTTAGCCAATCGCAGACCTTGTTAACAATATTTTGTCAATGTCAAGCACTAAGGTCCAAATGGCATAGCCGAAACTTTGTCAAAAGAAAAATAGGTTTCAAGAAAGTATATTGAAGAGCCAATATACTCTTTCAACACCGTAGGCCGGTACACCGGCCAAGAAGCCTCAAGTCCCCAGACACCGCAGGCCGGTAGACCGGCCAAGCCGTAGTCACGTCAAAATAGTGGGTAGATCTATAAAATTTTATGAACCTACCTGTCATATCATTCGTTTATTAAATCTATGACATTTTACAATGTCTGAAATATGTATTCCATTTCAATTTATCATTTAAATTAAAAATTATTTACTATTTCCCGCAATGTTATTGAAAACAAAATTCTCGGACACACACTTCGAAAACGGGCCCTCATCAAACATGTCAAAGAGCAAAATAAAGACGTTTCAGGCAAATCTTTCAACCAAAATATATCTATAAGTTGTCAAACTTACAGCTAAGTTATTATTTCCATCTTTATAAAAGCTTAATGTGGGAGGAAAGCCCTAAGTGATGCAGGTCTCAGACGTTTACCACTTCGGTGAAATCCACGAGCACAGATACAGTACTGACAAACCTAGAAACATAATCGGGGTGAACCGGTATTCGAACCCACAATCATAGGTTTCTGGCGTGCCCAAGGGACGCAACTCTGCACAGCGAATTGCGGTGCCTTAGACGACTGGGCCACCTGTACACCCTGACAGAAGAATGGAAGGACAGCACCCATTCCTATATCACCCTTCCACTTTGGGGATAATAATGTCGTCTTGAAACATTTCTGCTCAGGAAACTAAACGTGACGGACGGACAGATGGACAGATGGACAGCACTCATTCCGATATCACCCTTCCACTTCGGGGATAATAATGTCGTCTTGTAACACAGTGCGGTGATATCACTCCACAGCAAGATCTTGCTAAATATGCTATATATTGCCAGATGGAAGATACGGATCTGCAAATTCTTGACATATAAGGGAGGCAGAAATGTACTTGTCAATACCGATACAGTATTCACTGTATTAGGCACCCTAGACCAATTTGTAAGTAGAGTCTTTTTACAGAAACAGAAGTGTTACTGTAAGAAGGGGGAAATAATTGCCTAGCAACTATTATCAACCAGCGATCTCTAAAAATACATGTAACTTGCTGTGTATGAGTGCCGCACTTTATCAAGCCCAGGTCGGTTATTACAGTGAATACGGTATATGTGGTAGTGAGGGATATGCTAAAATACTCACATCATCTGTTGTATCTCAGACGTAAACCAGTTTGTATTGGAAGACACTTTACTTCCTCCAGGGGACGTTTGCATCTTGAACACAGGTCGAGGTCAACTCAGTCTAAAGCAGAAGAAGAGAGATACATCTGTAAATGTTGTTTGATGAGAGAGTGAGTTGGGTTTAATGCTGTTTTTAACTGTATTCCAGTTATATCACGGCGTGTCAGCTTAATGTGGGAAGAAAACCTGAAGTGATGAAGGTCTCAGACGTTTACCACTTCGGTGAAACCCACGAGCAGGGGTATGGTGCTGACAAACCTAGAAACATAATCAGGGCGAACCAGGATTCGAACCCACAATCATAGGTTTCTGGCGTGGCCAAGGGACGAAACTCTGCACAGCGGATCTCATTGCCATCTTAAGCAATGTAAGGTTTCAGATCAGCTTACTTTCTAGAAATGCCCTCATTGTCATAAAAAATGTCTACAAGTAAAAAAAACAAACTCATCTAATGTTGCTTTAAATATAAATAAACTGAACTGCAGTCGGGAAGATGTGGAAAGTATCACAGAGCTCCAGATAAGCTGCGTATCTGCGTGAAATACGCATCAGAAATGCAGAAATACGCAGTAAAATATAATCCAAGCGTATCAAATACGCAACGAACATTACAGATACGCTACAAAAATAAAATTTGTGTGTATCATCAAAATATTGTGAAGTAACCCTGCGTATTCGATTAGCAAATCAGCAACTTATTTTGAAATTATAAACGGGCATTCCGTCAACCTTGCCAAACTCCACGATGACAGTTACATCATGATCATTTGCCATCACACTTTCTTGTGGAAGTATCGTGGTATTTTTGAGTCCTATAAAGCTCTCGAACCCACATGACACCAGTTTGCAGGGACTAGATGAATAGTGTTTTTAAATATTTAACTTAAATACCCACATGTGTAAAAACTAGTGGGTAACAGAAATTTGAATACGCAGATAGAATTACTGATACCCAATGATTTTAAAATGCATGGGTAAAATACCCACAACACCAAAAGCTTATCTGGAGCTCTGGTATCATCTTCCTGAAGCAAGGGAGTTAACTGACTATAAAAGTCCAGTTTCCACCCTTGCCGAACCAGGCTGGAATTCCTGGGCTCGATCGTAGCGCCACCAGTGGTTATTAGGAGTTATGTCCCTTATAAGCCTCTCCTATGGACCAATCAGATTCCACCTTTCGTATCACATGCATTTGTTTCAAACAAAATGGCGGCGCCAAGTCAAGACGATCTTATCGATAATCAAGATCTATATTGTGATAACACGGGTCTTTCCTCGTGAAGTGCATCAAATCAAGTGAGCACCTTGATTAAAAACGTGTAAAGACTTGGAAAATATCTGTTGACAACGAGTTGGCGGGGCACATGCTTTGCAATCCTGCAATAAACCTAAATCTGCACGACAGTTTACTAACTTGATTTCGATTTCTGTGCGCGATTTTGATTGGACTATGCATAGACTTGTTAGTCCAGCCAAAATGTAACTCCATAATACCAGCCTAGTTCAGCAAGGGTGGAAACTGGACTTTTACAGTCAGTTAACTCCCTTGCCTTGGGAAGATGGGAAAGTATAGACTCAAGAAACCATCATTGCATTAAACAGCCAATTCAGCCGAAACATTTATCATTTCCATCTCTCTCCCGCACTCAACGGGCCCAAACGTTCAGGTCGATAGGTCAAATGTTGGGCCAAATATCCACAACCAGAAAGGACAGAAAACCTGGCCTTGTTAAAGGACTGGCAGAAACACAAATGCCATTTTACTACGAGTGAGTGAGTTAACATTAATAACTTGTCACCGGCAGTACCTCAAACTATACTCCCTCACTCACACATAAAAAAAAACGTGGACATATGCCTCTTCCTGTCATCCTGTATATAACTGTGACATACGCCTCATCCTGTATATAACTGTGACGTTTTCAACACTTCTATTTGTGTCCATATGTTTCACACTCACAACACCACCATCTTGGCATATAAACGCAGAACTGAGGAAAAGACTCAGACATTGTCGGCTTGGAGAAACATGGCTGTTAGCCTCCATCCTGCCTACTCCCTGTGGCCATGGGCCCGATCCTATTGGCAGTGGAACCGACATTATCGGCCATACAGTGAGTTACTTTGATCTATCTATTGTTGTCCAGTCGCTTTCCCAACACTGCTGGGGGGTAACGACTAACGGATTAGGGGTCTTGTCAGCTTGGGTCAGATAGTTGAAGTGAAGTAAGTGGAATAACTTGTTTAACACATCAATTTTATTACCAATGTTTTAGGACATATATAACAGTGAGTGAGTGAGTGAGTAGGGTTTTACGCTGCTTTTAGCAATATTCCAGCAATATCACGGCGGGGGACACCAGAAATGGGCTTCACACATTGTACCCATGTCGGGAATCGAACCCGGGTCTTTGGCGTTACGATCGAATGCTTTAACCACTAGGCTACCTGACCGCCCCACATATATAACATATATATATAATACATAAAATTTTATTACCAATAGTTTATGGTTTATTATTGTATAGATATCAAATATTTGATAGATCAACATAATTATGTATCGCATATTTTTTGTTTCTATTTATGCCTTACAACATCTCGATAACATGTGAACATTGTTAATAGTTATGGGAGGGAACGATATGATGGAGTCAGTGAGAGAGAGTGAGTCAAAATTTTGCGTCACATCTGCATTATTTCAGCCATATAGCGTCAGTGAGAGAGTCAAGGGTGAACTGATCTTACCTAAAAGTTGAATACCCTAGGTAATCCTTCTATTGTTCTTACTTCTATGCAGGGCGGTCAGGTAGCCTAGTGGTTAAAGCGTTCACTCGTCACGCCGAAGACCCGGGTTCGATTCCCAACATGGGTACAATGTGTGAAGCCCATTTCTGGTGTCCCCCGCCGTGATATTGCTGGAATGTTGCTAAAAGCGGCGTAAAACTATACTCACTCACTCTTGTTCTAAGCCTAGCTGAACATGTCATTTTAATAAATGTAGGGAAAGTGGGGGATCACAATTGTATCATTCATATCTTGTTTAACAGAAGCGGGATAATGCTGTAGACAGGGCCATTACATCACAACCATGATTCGGAGTGTTACAAACACTAGTCCTCATTGCCTCTACCATTACAAGCAGGAAAGTGATAATTCCTTCTAAAGTTACAATTCCATCTTTTTCATCGTCTTGATTATGATGTTTTGATGTCGAACATGCATCTTTGGATTTTCTCTAATGCCTTCCTTGGCAAAGATTTGTTTGTTTGTTGTTTAACGCCACACTCAGCAATATTCCAGCCATATGATGACGGTCTGTAAATAACTGAGTCTGGACCAGACAATACAGTGATTGATATCATGAGCATAGATTCACACACTTTGGATATGATGACATGCATCAACCAAGTCAGCGAGCCTGACCACCCGATCCCGTAAGTTATTCACCTCTTACAAGTGAGTGAGTGAGTGAGTGAGTTTCACACCACTTTTAGCAATTTTCCAACAATATCACTGTAGGGGGCACCAGAGATGGCCTTTACACATTGCACCCATATGGGGAAGGGAAGCCAGGTCCTCGGCATGATGAGCAAACGCTTTCACCAGTAGGCTACCCCACTGCCCAAACAATGGCATCCTGCTTATCATGGTAGAAGGATACAAATAAGGACTAGTGGAAACTTGCCATTTTTAAGGGTTTTGCTATATGTTATCATTATAAGGTCTAGTGGACTAAAAGTGTTAATTTCTACCGCTCATTCGGAAACAGAATGCTGCATGTTTTTGACAACTCCGTATTATGTGGGATGTTGCTATGGTTACAGGATTATATACAGGAAACTGCCTCTTAGAAACAGTTGCCAATTTCATCATTTCTATATGAGTTGTCACAAGTGTAAATCTTCCAACATATGATATGCATGATTTTGAAAAACACAATATACCAATATTTTCCAAACGTATTGTGGTGCGTATTCATTGGTATTTCATATCGTGCTATACCGGCATATTGGTAATATCGTGCACCTCTAACTCTCTATAATGAATGGTGTCTTTGATTGAAAGTGTGCTATCTTAAATACTTTCTTGTTGGTACTAGTGGCAAAGAAAAGTTTCAAATTATACGTAACAAACCTTAAAAAATAGTGACATGAATGTTTACTTTTCCTGCCCCTTAAGCGAGCGAGCGAGTATGGTTTTACGCCGTTTTTAGCAATATTCCAGCAATATCACGGCAGGGGACACCAGAAATGGGCTTCACACATTGTACCCATGTCGGGAATCGAACCCGGGTCTTTGGCGTGACGAGCGAACGCTTTAACCACTAGGCTACCTGACCGCCCCTCCTGCCCCTTGACATCCTGATAGAGAAAGTCTGTACACACAAGTATGCATACTATCAGTATGGCCCTATAACTGCATTAAATGTTTTTAGCAAACAGTATCTTATCTTTATGGACTGAAGGCTAACACTGGACAAACGTTATAACAATTCAGTTATCTCACATCCTATCACACATTAACATGACAGTGCTGTAATAAGATTGCACCAACTGACCCCAGCTATGTTATAAGTAGGTCGTATCTCCCGATCAAAGCCATTCAGTAAGTGTTAGTGCAAGGATCATGTTGCACATACATGATATAGTATATATGTTGTCACATGATCACCTCTGATAACCGCAGCAATGGCTGGAATGTCCTGTGAGCAACACAATAAACACTGACTTAGAGGTAAGACTTTCTGCACTTAACACACACTTTCATAATTAGCCGTGTGGATTTGTTGTAATGGCCACATAAGATCTATATTTGTTTCAAATGTCTCGACATTTTCATGTAATTGTGATCTGATGAGTTGGTTTCTTTATCTTGGGTGTTTGGCTGGTTTCATATTTACACTGCAGTTTCTATTAAGGCTAAAAAAATAAAAGAATTGGTTCTCAGGCAATGATTTTTGAAAATATAGTGTGGGCAGGCGGTGTCGTTTTTGTTTTTTTGATTGTTCAAACTAGTATGTAACCAATAAACAATTGTGTACAATCAACCTGGGAAAGGGCCTCCCTACATAAATGTATTCCTTAATGAGTAAAATACTGGAATACAGTATTTGACTACCGTTACGAATATTTAAGGATTTTTTTATTTTTTTTAAAAATGGAAATAAAAACGAAACATGCGGCAAACTTATGATGATGCGGGTGGTGCCTGAGAACCAAGAATATTTTTTTTTTTAGTCTAAGATGTTCATAACAGGCTGGGATTCATATACTGATGGGAAAAATTAATCACTGTTGATGTCAACACATTTAACTTTATATCACAAAAATAGGCATTCTTGATCATCTAGCATATTGTATCTCCATTCAAAGATGAATACCCCTGCATCAAGTCGCTGTAATAGCTTTATTTTTTAGTCCAACATAAATGGCATGCCCCTAAAAGAGTCATCCAATCAAATTGCACTCATGTGCAAGAGAAATTCTTTGGGAAGTTGCTAACAAGAGGTGGAAATGGTGACGTCACTTCACACACAAAGCTATGGTAGTTTCACGACCAGACTAGTAGAGTGATGAGTTATTTATTTATCATTATATTTAGGGAGTGAGTGAGTTGGGTTTAACGCCACTTTTAACAGTATTCCAGTTATACTGCGGCATGTCAGCTTAATGTGGGAGGAAAGCCCAAAGTGATGCAGGTCTCAGAGTGAGTGAGTGAGTGAGTGAGTGAGTGAGTGAGTGAGTTGGGTTTTACGCCGCTTTTAACAGTATTCCAGTTATATCACGGCGTGTCAGCTTAATGTGGGAGGAAAGCCCGAAGTGATGCAGGTCTCAGACGTTTCCACTTCGGTGAAATCCACAAGCACGGGTATGGTGCTGACAAACTCGAAACATAATTGGAGCGAACCGAGATTCGAACCCACAATCATAGGTTTCTGGCGCGACCAAGGGATGCAACTCTGCACAGCGAATCATGGCGCCTGAGACGAGTGGGCCACCCATGCCCTCTATTTATCATTATAAAACTGAGACATAAAACAGGATAATCGAACAGATGCAAAATAAGACAAGGTGTGAAACATATGAATCTGTTGGATCACTTCACTTTCAAACAAAGTGTTGCTATTTTCTATTGTCATTTTATGAGATTCCGTGGCATAAACACTTCCTTTAGTAGCTGTTCCTGTATGTCTTTCCATCAGAGTAACTGAAAGATGTTGATAAATGACGAGTTTTGATGCTAATGACTGCTGTTTCTTATTTGGTTTCTGTTGATGACATACTTGATTTGTACATATCTGTTATAGGTACAAATATTAATTACAATAAAAACATTATGAATTCATAACATTACCGGGTATATGTGTTCACTGAGACAAATAGTTACATGACTTTCTTAGCAATATGTAATATACTCCGGGCTTTACCTTGACCTACAAAACTGGGGGTCCTGTAGGGTAATGAAATTGTGTAGTGTAGTGTAGTGTAGTGTAGTGTAGTGTAGTGTAGTGTAGTGTAGTGTAGTGTAGTGTAGTGTAGTGTAGTGTAGTGTAGCACAGTGTAGTGTAGTGTAACGTAGTGTAGCACAGTGTAGTGTAGTGTAGTGTAGTGTAGTGTAGTGTAGTGTAGTGTAGTGTAGTGTAGTGTAGTGTAGTGTAGTGTAGTGTAGTGTAGTGTAGTGTAAGATTTAATACTTACTTTAATTACAGGACCTTTAGATTTTTTGTCAAGAATTTGGTATAATGATTAGTGTGCATCCCAAAGGACGTAATATTTTTTTTTTCTGCATCCCCTCAATACATTTGTGTGTGCTGGCCAACATGTCTGCATCCATTCAATACATTTGTGCATACTGGCCAAAATATTTAAAAACAATAATTTTTCAATATTTCTTTTCAATATTTTCTCAGCATTTTGGGTCAGATAAAATAATTTAACAGTTAAACCTTGTTATTCTGAATTCAACTGATCAACAAATTTCTGGATTAGCAAATCAAGGGTACCGAGCGATGTTGCATTACATATGTTCCAACAAGAACATGCAGTTATGGGGCATTCAGACTCACAAGGTCTCAACAGGCACAGATGTGTGTTTGGAGGTGAGATGAAATGGGTTTAACGTCACGTCCAAGATTATTGCTCTTATATAGCGACGAGCATGCATGCGTGTGTGCGCATGTGTGTGTCTGCTTGTACTAGTCCGGACAGATGCCGATTTTATAATGCTAGCCTCCTGAGATACCATGCCACAGCTTAACATGAATACCCCACTCAGACACAGTATATGGACTCCGAACCCATCAGTCCTTGTTTTAGTCCCTTAATGTCGAGTGCCATACAAAAATGCTAGCACATAAATCAGAACACAATTTGCATTAGTCAGCTAAATATGAGTCTATTATATATTGTTATTAGTGTCAAAAAAAAAGTGTGGACTACTACTTTTACTATTAGGTCGATGACAACTCTGTTGCAGACCATATTTACGGACTTGTGTAAATACAAATTAGTTTCTAACCCTTAACACATAATACTCGACCCGTGAAGATTCCGGGGTAGAATAGGTCTTCAGCAACCCATGCTTGCCGTAAAAGGCGACTATGCTTGTCGTAAAAGGCGACTAAGGGGATCGGGTGGTCAGGCTCGCTGACTTGGTTGAGGCATGTCATCGATCCCAATTGCGTGGATCGATGCTCATGATATTAATAACTGGATTGTCTGGTCCAGAGTCGATTATTTACAGACCGCCGTCATATAGCTGGAATATTGCTGAGTGCGGCATTAAACAACAAGCAAACATAATTCCCAAACTAAAGATTCTCTGTCAAAATTGTATTTATTCTCACAGATAGCCTACAAGTATGAATGTTGACTGTAAAAATAACATGACAACTTATTCCCGAGATTGCTTTGTATGGTATAACAGTTATATACTATTGGCGATATCAGTTGATGGGTCTCAGTGCATATTACCACCGAAAGCCGTGTACATATCGCCACAAGCATTGCATTGGTCTAAATCATGGGACAGGTCGTGAACTACTTTCGAGGTTGGTAAGACAGAAATCCCCCTACAAAAAGAATGTCACTACATGGGATCAAAGAACGGGTTCGCCATGACCTGTCACATGACAAGAGTCTGAGGTATGCGGTTGAAACACCCACGCACCCAACATACCGAGAGGGTGCGGGGGTGGTCACACTCACAATAGACACTAACTTCTCAACATGTGACTGTTAACACCGTCCATTCGGCTGCTATTGTCACTGTTTATGGCGTACCTGAATTATGCAGAGGATAACTATACATCCAGACTCCAAGATTATGCATTTGTTTCGGTGACTGGTATGTTACGGTAGGTTTGCTTTGCTTTATAATCGCCCAAACAGCGTTAGTTTTCACAAGCTCTACCACACATTATAATGGCAAGCCGCCATTTTGTACAAACACATACTACGGCGCATGCGCAGTGATGTTACCCCATCACGTGGGCCTACCTGTCACTCAGGTATGTCACTGTTGTTCAGGGTTGCGGTTAGATCAAAGAGCGGCCAGTTAACCACAAATATGTCGCTTATTAGTAAATGACAGGTAGGACTGTTTACACCTTGAATATAAAATCGCATCTGCCTGATGTTTCTGCTTCTTGTACAACAATAACATACAAAGTCAATAAGCTTTGCCTTTTATCAACATGCAACAGGCTATTACGCAATGTTTATTTAGCCCCCATAACTCGGCGTTGACTGAAATAACATGTCACCTCCGGTAATTGGGCTAGAGCGACAAACGGTAAACCACGTTACCAGTCTATCACCGTACTTTGGGGAATTACCGATGCTTAATTAGCAATTCGCAATAGAATAAGTTTATTATTAATTTATACAGACGAAATGTATGAATTGACACTTTTAAAATACTGAGGTGTACAAGTCTTCTATCAAAGTCGACAAACATATCCAAAACGTACTTTCAAATTATGATGATTTTTATACCCGTACTATTGGTTAGCGTAAAGCTTATACTATGTGTTTTCATGCAACGGATCAGCTGTTTACCTGTCAGGCTTGAGTGATTTCCCTTTGTTCATCCGATGCGAAAGAAAGTTCCCGTCTACATAAATACCACACGCGTGTAAGATGACACATATTTAAATGTCTTATTCATATCCGACATGAACTGTCAGTGTAATCCTTTACAACTGGTTAGTAAACAAGAGCGTAGTAGTTCCCCCGACCAGTCGAGTGCGTAAGAGGGTCATGGCGCGGAGTGATATCGTGTGTAGGTCGTGGGTTGAGTCAGCCAGTAGGAGCGGCCAATATAAAGTTAACCGCTGACTACTTCCTCTCATTCATAAAACCACAGCCTAACCAGAGGTTCCGTGTCAGCCCGTCCCTTACAGTGTAGCTCACTAATATTGCACCACATGCATTTACCCACAGATTTGAACGGTGTTCCGCCGTTCCCGGAGTCCCCCCATACCATGGCCGGAGAGGTACTGCCTGGGGTGCCGGGAGGGGAGCGGACCTACACCTCTATACTCGGTGACCACCCAGGGGAACTTGTCCGCACCGGCAGTCCAAACTTTGTGTGCTCAGTCCTCCCATCACACTGGCGATCAAACAAAACTCTACCAGTCTCATTTAAAGTTGTCGCTTTGGGAGAAGTTAAGGATGGAACCAAAGTCAGCATTATGGCTGGGAATGATGAGAATTACTGTGCCGAATTAAGGAACGGTACCTCCTATATGAAGAACCAGGTTGCCAAATTCAACGATTTACGCTTCGTTGGAAGAAGCGGTCGAGGTGAGTTAGTGTAGTTTATATTTTGTGTCATGTAACTAAGTTTGTGGCCTAACCTTGTCTCACACCAACATGCACTTGCCCACACATGCAGTGATTAATACATGCGGAAGTCGGATGGTGAGGGGTGAAGTTTTCTATTCAGAGTCCAGTGACTCAAGCAGTAATAGGACTATACATACGCAATAGACTAGATATTATACCACCGCTCTCCTCTATCTATACAATCGCCCATTGTGTGGTGTGGTATGCTTTTCCTCAACTGCACTTACAATATGTAATGTACAATCTGTCAATCGCATTTAGGATATATTCAATGTCACGGGTCACGCATGTCAGTGTTATGAAAGTTATTCTGCTCCTTATTCAACCTGCCATTAAACCCCAATGTTCTACATGTGAACACCATCCTCAAATAGTTTTTTTAAAAAACGCATGCCTTTTAATGTGTTTTCCTGTTGTATGAATTCATCAGTTTAATGTTGTGTTTTTTTCTGTTTTCTCGTCATCCGTTATGATTTGTGTGAAAGGAATCTTGGTTTCGTAGAAATGAGGAAGTGATTATTCTCCAATGCATGTCCCCACACTACTATCACTGAATTAAGCCGCACGGTTGTGTAATCTTCAAAGACGGATTGTAGTGATTTAGTTATTACGAATGGTAATCGCATTAAACACCCCTCGCAAACACAGGATACCATAATAACCGGACAACAGTTATTACTATCATTAATTGTGATAACATCATAAGCATTCGCTTATTATTTCAATACACTTGAGGTTATGTCGCCTATTTCCTTAATCACTATACATTGTAAGTATGTTTCATCTTTGTTGAAAATTGACTCATTTTTTGGCACGTGTTTTGGTATCTTTTTTTTATGGCATCGCGTTTCCTCATCTTTGTCATGGCGAAAGTCATTCCTATGTGCACCGCTCACTGCTCTTAACAGCTCATCTACGTAAAATAATCAAATCGTAAGACCTGCATGGGTACCCTGATATAAGCAGGACTATGGTTCAACACTGATATCTGAAGATTTGTCACGTATATTTCTTTTGTTGAAGGACATTCGATACAGATCAATATCTACAATCAATCATCTATGTATCAGATTGTACTACATTTTATTAACTGATAAACCACATTATGTTTGTTCCAGCGAATCTTCAATTTCATATAGCTGGACTTGTATTGACACTATATGTAGTTTTAAATATCAGTACACTTTATGGATATTGTTTAAAAGTCATTTGACAGGTGACAAAGTAGACAATATATGGATAACGCCTTCTTTTTTATAGTGTAATATACGGTATAGCTCCTTATGCCGTTGTCAAGCAGGACCGACAAAGTGATATGTTCTAAGGGTCAAACAAAGGGGTAACGGTTATCACTGGTGTACCGTATTTCATCTACGTTCTTTACTAACACCTGCCGTTCATTGCCTAACAGACGTGTGCTACTCGTGTGGCTGTCGTTTGCCCACGGCATTATCTGTTGTCGCGTAGAGGCTCTCGACGATGGTAAATGTAATGTACCTGACGCCGGTTCCTAAAATACATATCAGAATATATATAATTATATGCGATGAGCTTTCATTTTTACTTGAAGCTGGGCAAGATTCAAACAGTTTCATTATGTTCAATAACGTAATCAATATTTATAGCCTCCCGTGCAATATACGACTTATTCAATATGTAGATGTTATAATGTCTGAAACACTTTTCGATATTGCGGGTTGGTTTGTAGTGTCGGGTCTTTGTTGCAGTTGTTTGTATTTTTGTAACAGAGTGGATATTTTGAATAATTGTGTGGACAAGCTGGAGACACTGGATGTCATTACTCTGTTAGCCGTGTAGCGAGTGTCAGAGAAGGATGTACCGCCATCAATTATCATCTCGCAGAACTGGTGTATATTTCAACCCGTATTTCCTCCTGTTCGTGTAAATAGCAGTTAATACATGTAAATTTCGACATCGGTTGTCAATTTCTTCAACATCACGATCGGTTAATATTCGAATACGCCACTGACAAATATAAAGAGGTACATGTCGCTCAAACTCCAGCATTTAACCCCAATTATTATTTTCATGCTATTTGTGACCGCCTGTTATGACATCTTACCCCTCACAAAGAAACAAAGACCCGAGGTCGGGTATGCAAATTAAGGAGAAAGGCGACGTGAGATGAGGCATCTTGAACGACGCTCGTAGTCTTAGGGGACGGACAAAGCCGCCACGCGGCATGAGGCAAGAGTCTTCCTCTCCTAGTGCTTCGCCTAATTAGCAAGGGCAGCCAAGACACGCAATCCGCGGCATTGTTTTAAAATGACATGGACAAAAATGAAAAGCAACAACCATATTATTAAAGTATCGGATGGCCCCTATCGTCTTGTCTGACATCCGCGCGGAGTGCTAGTGGGTTTGACGTTGCAGGTGCATGGCCGACGGTGCCGGTTAGCTAGCCAGCGAGTGGCAGTGTCTTCGACCACAGCCCCCTGATACGGCCTGCTTACGGCGCTTTGCGGGATATGTGGTCAACCACCGCTACCATATCGCCGTGCTCAAAGGAGAACGCACAGACTAATTTGAAATCGAAAAAAAAGTATCTGACAATTTTTTCGGAAATTAAGATTTATTACTGTCAATAGGGACTCTTGTGTTTTTAAATTAAGTTTTGAATTTGTTCGACATTTTTATATTTCTGGTTACGAACTGATTATTCCAATTACGATCTGTATGCTTTGATTTCTTTAAGATCATAAAGAGTTGTTATTTCAAATATTGACTTGTTCGTACTTAAAACGTGTACAATTTGAACGCTTGTTCACAAATTGGGGGCGATTACTCACCAAAATTCGGCTTTTTAGCCCAACTCGTGAAATACGTGGAATTATGGAATTCCCCTTAATGAAGTTTTGGATTATGTGAAATTAAGACAGGCGCGTGCCACAGGAAATGCTCGAACTGGAAAGCCCTTTTGATGTTTTAATTGGTACGTTGTGAGATGCAGGATTCTTGCACTTCTGGAAACCTGCCATCTCTTGGACCCGCCGTTGCCTCGGGTGCGGCTTGAGCATTACAGTTTAAATATTGTACAATGGTGTTGTGAAGAGGAAGCGAAAGAGTTCATTTAAAAGCTTTTTGAAGATTCCGAAAGACTTTCAGGAACTATGACAGAGATTGGCCGTGACCTCACTAATAATCTCCAAGAAGGGTCAGACTTAATTAAATGACGATCATGAGTTAATGTTCGCAGTTCATTACATTATCTTGTGTACAATGACCTACTTATGCATGAACTGTTCAGGCTTCATCCATCAGCGGGCATTTCACCATAAATACGCCGTGATATTTGCACCATGCGACTTTTTTGAATAAAACGAAAGTAATGATTTCCTACAAACTTGTAAAGGCTTGTTGAAACTTGAGAATTGCTCTCCTGCATTTTGGTTGATGTTTTGTGTCACATACAACACTTATGATAAATTATTCTGTCACGTGTAAGGAATATTTGAATCGTAATTTAAATTCCAATTCATTACGTTTAAGTGGATTTTCAGTCCCATCGATATCAATAGTTTTCCGGGAAACAGTATACACGATTTCAATTTGTGATACACAGTTCGGAATGAATATGTGAGTTGTCAAGGACATCCTCGATTATCCAGCGTTATATATCTACATGACAATAGAATGAATGTATGAAGCACTGGATAAACGGAAGTGTTTTCTCATGCACTGGACAAGCGAGAATGCTTTCTGTGTCAATATTTACGATTTGTCCATTTAGCAATGTTATCTGGTGTGTCGGGTCCGTAGTTAGCCTCAGGGTGAGGGTGTGTCATCCCTGACATCACCCCAAGCTGCAGCTTGTGTGCATTGACTACTGCCGAAGAGCATGAATATTATTTACACAGCGATCCCGAAGAGACATCGTTCAGTACACATGCACTTGGCGTTATACACGAAGTACATGATAGTGGCGAATGTTTGAACATGGCGGGTAAATCAACGTCAGACCAAAGACATCGATTTAAAGTTTGATTCGGCAAATTACCTAGCTCTTATCACCGAATTAAAGAACTCAGTTCTTTTGTTAGCATGGCAACTGAGACATGTTTTGCCGAGTCTGAAAGCTCTGCTTCATGAAAACACTTGTGCTAAGTGAATATTACAATTAAGTGAAGTCTGGGCGTATTTTTTTATGCGACCTTGTCGATAGGGGGCGTAGTTTGGTCAATAACAGAGCACTGATATTCATTAAGATATAGTTTTCAACTCCATATATATTTTGACAAATAACAAATCATGTATCAAGGGGCGATGACTGTCAAAGGCGTGTTGACTATGACATGCCGGTTATAGTCTAGGTACTAGGATATTGGGCACTTTGTTACCAAAAGCTTTGGGATTGTTCAAACCAAAGAAAATTGACAAGACATGAAATATCAACGGACAAAGACACTCGACTCTCTTGGTTTGGGTTTTGATTGATTGAAGAAAGCGGTTCAGCCGCCATAGAGGCAAACCCATGTGTTAGCCTGCTATGTCTTGATTGCATTGTCTTGCATAACAATAAGAGTCTTTCTGGAGAAGGAGCTACTCTCAGAGTTGCAGACAGTTAACAAAGACAGAGCGATATGGCAGATGTGCGCAAAAAACTTCCCTTTTCACTTCTGTTTCTGAGGCGACTACACGCTATGTTATTTTCATAATTCTCACCACGAGCTAACGGACACTGTACATAAAGGGGATGTGTAATTAAAATAAATACACGGTCTCTTTCACGGAATCAAACTGTCGCGCGTGTCTTTGGTCGGTATGTTTACACGACAGTGGCGAATAGTGCCCACAGTCGGTCCACATCGCCGAAGGCTGTTGATGTTATGTTCTCGTTTAGTCGGGAGATATACAGTTTATTGCCCACCTGCCCGATGCTACCAATAACACAAATTTGACCTTTTCCAACACCCACTGTAATCAACACCACGGGAAATTAAGTCCGCATGGAATTCGAGATTGACGCGTGGTTGTCGCAGCAGATTTTGACTTTGGCAGGAAATCTTGCGCAATATTCACATATATAGTATGATATATCGTTGTATCGGAATACTTGGGTCGGAAACGTGATGGTCTCTGTCGCCAGCTTGTGTGTGCCCACTCGCTGACATTTCTGAAATAAGATTGCGGCGATTTTTAGGGGATGTGTGGGTTGGATTTGATATTTATGCACGATTTGCGAGGGTGAAAACATTCGACAACAGTTCGACCGCAATTCTGACATTTTCAATTACTGAATATCGATCTGTTTAAAGTTAAAATTTCATTTGACCATACGAAGTGAGCGAATGTTTCTCATTTCGTCGGCCGACCAAGGACTAGCATTGACTCTCTACAACCGATGATTAGAAAACAATTATCAGTTCAAATTCATGTTTTATTCTATTATCTCTTAATTCATATTTTGCTATTTGTATTTTCTAATCCGACAAATACTATCATTATCCAGATTGTTCTCGTAAACATTGATTTTGTGATTTGCGACCCTCTGATTTCTTTCTGCATTCAAACATGGCGAATGCACTACCGTGAAAATTAAACCGATTGTCGTTTATGTGCTCGTGTCGTATGATTCAAAGCAAAATAATACATCTCTGATACAATTACACCCAAACACAGACCTGGGGAGCACGCAATCTCAATATCGCCAGCGAATTAACAGACATGTTGCTCAAAGTCAATTGTTATCAATGGACCTACGAGAGCAGAGGCCGGGAACCGACAAGGTTGACCCCTGAACCCAAGTCTGACCTTTGACACCAGGTCGTAACTTTTACAAGCGCTACAAAGGTGTACATGTTTTGCGGATATGAGAACGGATTTGTATGATAGGAATGTGGTTAGAGCGCTCGCGTTACACTGACTCATCGCCGTAACTGTTTGAATCAGTTTTGTTGACCAGAAAATTCCCATAACACCCACGTTTTTACTGTGAGTGTACGGGCGCGACGACACTATCTGGATCATGTGCTTATGTCACATTGCATTGAGGAAGTCCCATGGCCGTTATGTCTGGAATTATTTGACGTACATCAGATAACGGGTCTCAATGTTCAGCATACTGTCGCATGGAAGACATTTACTAATGATATATAAATATAGTAAATTCTTTGTTTTACAGTTATATATGATTACATCTTTTATTTAATTTTTATATCATAAACCTCAGGGTGCGGTTGGGTAGCCAAGTGGTTAAAGCGGAAGACCCGAGAATAATATGATAGAGAGAGTCAAAATTTTACGTCACATCTGCATTATTTCAGCCATATAGCGACAGTGAGAGAGTGAATTCTAAGTGAAGGGTGAACTGATCTCACCTAAAAGTTGAATACCCTAGGTAATCCTTCTAGTGTTCTATGTGGGCGGTCAGGTAGCCCAGTGGTTAAAGCATTCGCTCTTCAGGCCGAAGACCCGGGTTCGATTCCCAACATGGGAACAATGTGTGAAGCCCATTTCTGGTGTCCCCACCGTGATATTGCTGGAATATTGCTAAAAACAGCATAAAACCATACTCACTCACTAATAAATCTCAGGTTAATAATTTGTCCACTGTCCTATCATTTTGATCTTGTAATTACATTTTAGGAAAAAGAATAAAATAAATACACTTTTATGAAAATAATATCTAAAATCTTGATGGTGAAGTGTGCCAAATAATAAATCAGTGCCTCCAAGACAATGAGTAGCAATAAACTCCATGTATTCAAGATTTATTTGTTTGATAAAAACATTGTGTCTGTTTAACATCTGTCAGTGACTGTTCTCTGGTCAATATTGAGATGACAGGTCTGGTGGCATTCACTGTGTGGAGGTGACTAATGCACCAGAGCGAAAAGAACAATTGCCAAAAAAAACCTTTTTCAATTTATTTTATGATTCATATTTACAATAGGGAACAGTTTTCACTCACATGCCAAACATTTGTTTGAATGGAAGTAATTACTCAAGCACAACATCTTAATATGGTGAAAATTAATCTTACACCCGTTTGCTTCCTTTCAGTGGAAAACTAATAATTAGGAATAAAAAGAGATGATATGAATCAGGGGACAGCCTACGTGATGTACCCAGGTGTGATGGTTCAACAGCTTACCTTCTGCAGCCAAACACAACCCCTGTAGTCACGTGCCATTAAACCAAACAATAATACATCTATTTAGATCAAACAACTGATAAGACAGCACAATGTTTCAAATAAGCCAAGGCAGTGTTTGTTACCTTTGACCCTTGTTAACAAATGAAATAATGAACTGTAATATTTAATAGCATATTGTTATTTTTGATTTATTTAAGAAAAGATTATCCATGGTACTATAGGAACTTTGAAAGTTTAAATTTAAAAAGAATTTATTTTTTTTAATTTTCAAAAAGAATAAATGAATGCTTTTTTATGTTAGCAAACTAACAGCTGTTTTACTGCAACATATATTTCATTGTTTAAGAAGCTTTGTTGACAGAAACGAATGTTAAGAATGAAAAATTCAAGGTCAGTATCAAAAGTGTAAAATGAAAATGTAACGAACAGATAAGAGTATGGAATCCTCACTGTTATCGTAACCCACATGTGCATTGGTCGCGCCCGACTGCTTCCTCTCAACATCTCACATGACCGTGTTTAGTGGTTATTAACAGCTTCGCTGGTGTGTGACCAGTTGTCCCCGGACACCAATATCATCAAGGCTTTTTCCTCACAGTTATACAAGGGAGCTTAAAAAAATATTGGCTCTTTGAAACTAATAGTATGACACCCAGTGAAATGTGGCGATAAAGTATTGATGGAATATGATAAACAATATGGTTCCGTAATGATGACTTTGTGCTGCTGGCAGGCCATTGTCTGTGACCAGAGCAGCTCTCATCTCCTCCCAACATCACCTGTAAACAGTTAGTGCTGATGATGTATAATTAATGGAAAACATAAAAGATGCAGTCCTAGGGGGAATTAACCTTTGCCGTTCCATCATTGTTTCAGAGATATTTGGTTAGCATTGATTGTGTTAAGGTAACATTTTGGTTGTGTTTCCCGTTCGTTTTCTTTTAGTATCTCTGTATGTATTTTTAGAATGTGTTTTTTAAATATATGTTTGACGTTTTGTTAAGATTTCATGACATGAATGACTCATATTGACAGTGAAATAGATTTTGGCTGTGATGGTACATCTCAATCAGTTTCAGGAGGAATTCATTGTGAGCAAATATTTCATCTTTGAGTGTTTTTAGTTTTTTTAATTTCCTGATTTATTCAAGGTTATGATTTGAAAATAGATATGACTCTCATTGTGGAGAATATGGCTCCAAGTTGCCGTATTCACAGTGTGATACTGGCATCACTCGGAAACATTGAGATGTCTCAATAACTGTGTATTTTTAGTAGAGTCTTGTTGGTTTTAAAACTTGTGATGTAATAGTAATAGTTATATATCATCTTGTTCTAGGGAAGAGTTTCTCGCTGACCATCACCGTGAGCACCAACCCACCAGAGATCGCCATCTACCAGAAAGCCATCAAAGTTACCGTAGATGGACCACGGGAACCACGAAGTAAGACAAGTAAGGGTTGACTTCAACTCGATCTCATATGCTTGCTTAGTAACCTTTAGTCCTGGGTTCGAATCCCAGATTTGCCATGATTATAATCCTTGTTTTGTCAGCGCCATGCCCTTAATTAGAGTCTTTAACTATAATGATAGAAGTCTGCTACCATAATCTCATTGAGATCCAAGCTCATTAAAATCAAATATTATTTCTCGCTATTTCGAAACAAAGATCTGAGGACATCCCATTACGGGTCACGTCGGAACGACCTTTCATCCAACCAATCAGAGCGTCCCTTACCAGATCATGAAAGTGACAGTCGGAATGTGTTTTCTAATAATGCAACCTCAAAATATTTAACAGAGGGTATTCTGAACAACAGTTACGAGTTTTATGATTATATCCATACAGTCTACCCATTCCAGAATGTTCTTTTGATAATTTTAAAATTTTTAATCAAGAATACGTCAAAATATGTTTCAAAGCGTTGTCGACAGTTTGAAACTTGTGTCATAATGCGTGAGAAAGCTGCCTTCTGATTGGCTAATGTTGATTTCTCGTCAGTCATTTCATTGGTCGGTCAAAGGTCTCGAAAGGTCCTTCTGACGTGACATGTAATGGGATGTCCTCAAATCTTTGTTTAGCGGTAGCGAAAACTAAAATCTGATTCTAATGAGATTGATTAAGATCAGATCTTGGTGTTCCATACCACTACACAAAGTGTAGGGATAGCGGCATTAAGTTCTGATTTTAATGAGATTGCTACCCGTGTCACTGTCAGCTTTTCTTCCACATGCAGCTTGACACTCAGTGATATTAATTAAACATTACATGACGGCGCCAACTCAACTCACTCATTCACTCATATTCAGACACTCTACCATTTTAACTCAACCAGAGGACAAAAATTATAAACTTAAAACTAATATTTTTTTAATAAGATTGGTTAGTACAGAATCATAAATGATATATGTGTTTAGGGGATGAATTAACATTTTTATGATTTTATTCCATGAATATTGATGATTGCTCATTATAAAAATAAATAATCATATTTTATTCATAGAAGAGATAATAGGAATATGTATGGTATTAATCTTTTCATGGAAATCATTTTGTAAATATTTGGAGCAGAAATTTTAATTATTTTTTTAATAAGATTATGGGATGTAAATTTTTAAAAATCAAAAACTGTATTTATGATTAAAGATTTGTGATGAGTCACAGGCTTTGTGATGGTTTGCTACATCAATATTAGAATAGCTCCAACTTGCCTCGTTTATTCATGGACAAACAGGGAAGAAGTGAGAACATTTTGCAAATTGGTTCATTAAGGACATTTGAAAGAAAAAACTGGGGCTTGAAGTAGGGATCTCATTGGTGTATTATCAGTGTTAAAAGTGTTTGAAGAGGGCAATCATGGCTAGTTAAACACCAACACTAGCTGCCTACGAAACCATAGTGTGGCCGGTGCAGCAACTTTGGCTAACCCACTGCACACAAAAAAACGCACGTGCATTCTCTCACGAGGTCGAGGGATGCCCCGACCGCACAAAGAAGCCATGCAGAATGGCTTAGAGGACGAAATAGATGGCGCTCTTAGTTAGCCACCAGCTATACTGGAGGTCATTTGAGACACTAATATTTGTCTATTCAAGTGTCCGTCACAGCTGGTCAAGAGCCAAACGGCTACTTTTTCATACAATGACCACCTTGCTATCGTTCATGTGACCACTACGGTGATTTGTAAAACATAAAATGGACAGCATGAGCTGCAAATGAGCAAATCTCTCATCAGCTGCATGTATTGTTAAAAAATAGTATTGTTGCTCTCTCCATCTCCACCTGGCCCTTGAAGCTGAAAGCTCAGGAGTCGTCTGAATGGGGGCTTAGCTCGGCTACAATCACCCTGCCTGATAAGTGCTGAAGTCTGTCATTATTTATCATCCATCAATGTTAGAGATACACCCGGGCTCCTTGGACATACTAAACATGGCTACAATAGCATGTGGACCTGCTCATGGCATGCTGGGCTTTGTGTTTCCTGTGACAACACGCCTACCTCCTTCCCCGGGATCTGACCCCCTCAACACACCCCTCCCCCTACACCCCCAGCGCCTCCCCCTGACACCCCCAGCGCCTCCCCCTCATACACCGCCAATGCCTACCCCTCGTACACTACTCCCCGCTGTAATCTGCAACCCAAGAACAAAAAATCTGCAGTTAATTTTTGTAAATTCTGCAACCAAATTTTGATCATTCTGCACACAATTCTGCAAACGTTTAGCTTAGCTTTCGTGAATTTTGTAGTTTTGTACCTGTTTGACTTGTGCCAGGCATTTATTTATAAACTTTTCCATGGCTAGAATAGCTTATTGAAGTGAATCCGGTGATGACTAGTGTAAATATAGACATGCACTTTTGGTAAACAATAATACAAAAGTCACCTTCTCTTCAATAAGAAATCTGGATATTTATTTCATTTAACCACCAAAACATAAAATGTTTAAAATATTGTTTTCCTTATAACAAAAAAACCCTCAATTAAGTATTTAAAATTATTTAATTAAAACAATGTACAGTTCAGTAAACCTATGCAACTTTTAGACTTTTAAAACTAGGTTTTGACTCACATGTTCAAATTCTGCAGTGTATTTGACAAATCCTGTGGCAGATAAATGCAAAATTCTGCACAAGTTCTGTACAAAAACTTATTTTGCTGTAAGATAGGTACATTTGTGCTCTGAGGGGGCATTTCTGCAAAATATTGCAATTACAGCAACTTAGAAGAATATGTGCCGATGTTTATTTAACTTGAAGTGAAGCTAAAATTGCATCTGTTCTATGTCAACATCAAATATTGTTTGTATAGCAAGTACCATTTGTGTGACCACTGACTCAGACGCCCTTAACATATGAGACCGACCTTGAGCAGCATCTTGTGACACATCGAAGCACGTTAAACTGCAGATTTCATTTACAAAATAGACACAATTTATGGATAACAACTTCTATAATACTGTAAAAAGAGACGTTTTGGTATAGATCCTTATACCATTGTCAAGCATATTGCTTGACAACATTATAAGGATCTATACCGACTATGCATGTTGTAAGAGGCAACTAATGGGATCGGGTGGTTTGGCTCACTGACTGGGTTGATGCATATCATTGTATCCCAGTTGCGTGGATCGATGCTCATGATGTCAATCACTGCATTGTCTGGTCCGGACTCGATTATTTACATACCGCTGTCATATTGCTGAGTAGGGCGTAAAACAACAAACTTCAACATCAAAGTACCTCATGTTATCTGTTGTATCTTGACGCCCATTGACTATTGCTGAGTGCGTTAAACAACAAACAAATCAAAGACTTGGTCCTCTGGACTAGTCTTAAAAAACATTTCTAAGCTTGAGTGTGTGTTCCAGAGCTCCACACTGACGACCGTCGGATCCACCATCGAGTCGGTCCCCTGGAACTGACACTGGAAAGGAGCCCCCTCACGGAGCCACTCGTGGATCGCAGGTTCGCGCATCTGGCTGAACTAGAGCGTCTTCGCCGCGTATCGTCTGTACCTGCTGATGTGAGAACACACCACACCACCGATGTCAATGGACTGCGCCCAACAGGTACCAGCAATACTTCAATGTGGTATTTTGTTGAATTGAAATACGGATTTAAAAGAAATGGGTGTGTGACATCTTTGGTGTCTTCCAAACACAGTACAAGTCTGCAGGTCATCTGTGTGTATTATTTCTAAGCATTATCTATCTACTGCCCCACCTGATCGCTGAAATCGAATAATAGATGGCCCTCTGTCATTTCTCTTTGGCACGAACTAAAGGACCAGCAACTAAGTCAAGCCCTGTTGCTATTTAGATGCAAAATGGTGGACAAAGGATCCAGTAACACATGTGACTTTCTACTATATTTCTATTTTATTCATTATGTTTGTCATTTGCTGAATTATCATTAAAATATTAAGTAACATTTAAAGGTACTTTAAGTTAGCTCATTTTATGGTTCAGAAAAAATATTAATCACTGTTTTATTACATGCTTTCTGAGATGAATACATTCTTGTTGAAGTTGGATGACATTTAGGATTGTTCCTTTGGTGTTTTGTAGTTCTTATTGTATTCCAAGTATATTTCAATCTCTCATGATAGATTTTAAATGTTACTTAAAGAATAGCTCGACATTTCACCAGTTCTACTTTTTTTATATTTGCTTAATTTTTTATCTGAAAATGTTTAAAATCTTCAAAAAAAGGAGATGGTTTCCACCATCACTAAGTTAAGTACAACTGGATCTACGACCTTCAAAGAAAATAAGTCACATGCTCCTGAAAACTGACAAGATAAAAAAGTTAACAGTCACACATGTTTTACCTTGGAGTATCTATTTAAATGTATTATTTGTTTTAGTTATTGTGATAATCGCATTTTCATACAAAACAATATTTGATAAAGTAAAGGATAATAATACCCATATTATCTTATTTCATTTTCATGTAAAACATGTAATTTACCTGAAACTTTATTTTCCAGAAGTATTGACGAAGCAGTTAGAAAGTACGCGGGGAGGGTGGGGTGGCTACGACACAGTGCCGTACACGAAGGACGTCATCTACCCCACCATCACCACCCACAGTACCCCACTGTCTCAATCACAGTCTGTCATTGTCTCACACCTTGCTGGTATGTTTACATCTCAATGTCTCCTAACTCTCCCCACTCTAATAGCACATACGGGGGCACGGGTGGCCCAGTCGTCTAAGGCGCCACGATTCGCCGTGCAGAGTTGCGTCCCTTGGGCACGCCAGAAACCTATGATTGTGGGTTGGAATCCCGGTTCGCCCCTATTATGTTTCTAGGTTTGTCAGCACCATACCTGTGCTCGTGGGTTTCACTGAAATGGTAAACGTCTGAGACCTGCATCACTTCGGGCTTTTCTCCCACATTAAGCTGACACGCTGTGATATAACTGGAATACTGTTAAAAGCGGCGTTAAACCCAACTCACTCACTCACTAAAACCAAATACTAGTTGAGTTTACATTGACGATACGATGCATGCTATGTCTACTCCACCCTGTGTTATGATTAAGATTTTATTTTTTTTCTTGATGATATAAAATAACCCGAACCCATAGCTTTACTTTTCTGTATGTAATGAAGGCTATACCAGTCTTTCAGTCTTTCTCCTATATTTAGATTTGAATTACAGAAAATGTTCGAAAAAAAATCTAAATCTGATCTCATGACTAAAATAAATCATATCATTTCCGTGTTTCAGCTGCCCATTCCTCTGCTGTAGAATCTCGTGAGCGTGAATCTCGCCTCCAAGGCCTGCAAGAACACCCTGTTGTCACCACCCACAGCCTCGTCCCCCATGAGCGCCACCTACCCCTGGTGCCAGAAGCTCAGAGACCAGACTACCCTAGCCTAGAGCCGCGCCTGCCAGTGGAACGCAGAATCACCATAGAATCTCGGCTCCCTCTTGTGTTGCCACCATATGCAAGTGCATCTGATGTTCGCCTCAGTGACCCGCGTATACCGGAACCGTTGTACCCCGAGACAAGACCGTTGTTCGTGCCCCCTCAGACTCTGCCGTACACAGTCAGCAGTTCCAACCTATCCATTCTGGAGGAGAGCCGTGCAATCTCTACTCTGCCCCTCGCTGTGACTCACGGGACGTACCCCGGTATGACCCCTCATGAGTTCTTTAGTTCCATCAACCCTCCCAGCTCAATTGCAGCGGCTGCTTCCTATTTAGCAGGAAGTCCGCCACGAGTGCTGCCCCCTACCTTCCTGTACCCCCATCTCTACAGCTCCTCCCCCCAACAGTATCAGACACGCCTCTACCTTCCCACGGGGGAGGTCAGGACGTACGAGGTGCTCGGTCAAAGGCCGTCGGACCTTCCCCCAAAGGTTGAGAAACCCACTCCTGTGTCCCCATCCTCCCGGTTAGCACTTGAAGGACCGATCGCTCGACCTGTTCGAGATGTTGAACTCACGGAGGAAGGGACAGGGTCTTCCGATTCATCAAGAGACATACCACCAAGACATGAAGACTCAGAGTCATCCAAGTCTTCACCAAGAAGACCTGGTCATGATGAACCAGCACCTGTGTGGCGGCCATATTGAAATGGTTGATGAAATGTGATTCGGGAATGTGACAGTTGGTCCCATCCAACTCTTGTGCCTTGTTGAAGTGTTCATGGTTTGACCTTGACCTTCAGATGGAGACATAAATCTTATGGAGGGCCTGAGCAGAATGCAGCGTTCAAGAAATTCTGGCTCTGCTCCACGTCCCTGGGAAAATTGTGCCATTGATACTGACAGAGCTCTTGGTTTCATGGACAGAATGAAGCAAGGGAAACAGACAAGTGTTGAAATGTAAGAACTGCCAAGCAGACATCTTTGAGTTTGACCTTGAGCTTCTCGTCAGCTCCAGAACCTGTTCCGTAATGACTAGCGGCGGCGTAGGACGTTGTTGTGGTTCCAGACCTTTGGAGCAGAGCATTGGACCTGAACGCCGCACCAGAATGCCACAGTACCAGAGCACTGAGACCATCATGGCAACAGAATCCTGGCTATCAGCCCATGAGCATTATGTGATGAAGTAGAGCAGCCATTCCAGGCGTCGGAGTATTATGACAGAGGGTCATGAAATCCTGTGTTGAATATTTGTACAGATTTTGTTGTTGATAAGGCTTAAACAAACGGTTCCAATGACAAGTCCGCCTGTGGTGGCAACCCAAGACAATATATTGACCATTGTGGATGAAAGTACCATTTTTACCCTGTATTACTTCTGGATCTAGAAGACAATGCATGAAAAATGATTTATTAAGACACACCGGTACTCGAAAGCTATGGAAGCAAAATAAGAAATAATTGAAAACATGTTTAGTAGCACCAACTTTGTAATGGTTTTACAAGGAGATTTTGGTCATCTCGTGCTACTTGACATTTTATTGAGATAAATATTTATTTGAAGTTAAAGTACCGACCAGTTGCCGTTTTGGGACTGATGAAATCTACCAGAGTACAGACATTATACTCAGTAAAACAATGCATGATGTGATTTGTTGATTTTATCATATCACAATTTAATCAGTTTCTCCAAATAAGGTATTGTGATATGTATATCATGAGTGTATTACCTACATCTTGGTGAATCATGTCAGACCTTATTATGGCTAGATATTTTTTCAGTATTTTTTATCTGTGAATTGGGAGTAGATTTACTTATTTCTGACTTTTTTAATTGTTTTTTTATGTTTATATACAACAATATTTCCTTATGGTAATATTGGTTTGTGATTAGTCCTGCTTTAAAGCTTAGGTATTTCTGGAGTGTTTTACAGCACACACATCTAAGGCCACAAGAAGAGTTTTTCTTCTCTTCACTGAGAAAGAGTATTTTGTTTAATTTAATTTAATTTTTTTATTTCCAAATTGAAAATTCCTAGTTGTACAATAGAAAACAATATAAAGACGTTCCGTTTTGTAAAATCACCAACAGCATCACTGCCATCAGAATAGGTTGTATCAAAAAGCGCAACTTTGGAATGAAAACTAACACTTGAAATGAGGAATCGGAACATAATTTGACATGCTGGTTGACTTTTATAGAAACAAGAAAATGTTATCTGTGTCGTAACCTAGCCATCATTGTGTTACTTCTGTGAAGTGTGTCAGTCTCTTTGTATTCCATTCAAAGGTCACGTATTGTGATGTTTACAAACGTCCAGTTTCAGTCTGGTCACAAAACATTCTAAAAAGTTAACATTCATACATAATAATAGCTTATGTAAATAGTGCAATATTTACAAGGCTGTATTCAGCTTCGTAGGATCATCATGAGGAGACCAATACACAATGGGAATTAATCAAAATTTCACAAATCAAAGGTATTTTGTACTTATGATGCGAGGGCTTCTGTATAACAGAGAGATGAGCACCCTAAGACCCTGTTTGGGCGTGCAATTTGAACAAAGCCTCACCAGTTCAATTGAGGTATTGGACATGGTTTAACCATAAGAAACGCTGTCGCAGTATTATATGACCTTATATGAACTATAACCTTTATCACAGTGGTGAAACTTATCTAACATGATACTAATAGGCAATCTTTGCTAAGGAAATTGTGGAAGAAAAAATTTACTTCTTGTGATTAATTAATTTTTTTTAAGAAAACAAATATGGGTGAAAATAATTTCAATATTTATTTGAGAATTTTGGTTTTAATAAGAAGTTATCAAAGATTATTTTTAATTGTTTTCAGCAACGGTTCATAGTGCTTATGAGTTTTGAAGTCTTGGTTAAGGATTTTGCCCTACAATGTACATCTTGTATTGGATATACATCGGGATGTGAATTGTGCTTAGTCCGTAGTACCTGAATTATACAGTTCAGTATTCACCATTGATAAATTGTTCTCTGCTCTGCTGCACTATGGAACACTGATAGATGGTGCAACCTTCACACTGTTCCTGAAGAATTGTGATTCTGGAAACAGACTTCTGCCTATGCACTGAATAGCATTCATGAACAAAGTATTGCTGAAACAGCTTTAACATCCCTGTTATCCTGTACTATAGTGATGATGCTGTGAGAGTTCACATTATTGGAGTACACAATACTCGCATGTCCGTGAACACGTGAATACCCTGCTCAATACATCTGTTGTCCTGTATAGAAGTGTCACAAGATATATTGTCCAGCATTTGTGAAGCTGATGATGTCCATTATTCCTGATGTTAACACGTACAGCACTGACAACTGCTGATCACCACTGGACCTTGTAAAGTGCTCATTAGTGTTAGTTGTGATTGTTTTGTCATATATTTATTTTTCTTGTACATTTTTGAGTGCTTTACCAAAGATATGAGAAGTGTCATCCCAACATTACAATTGTCATGTCATTTTCATGAGATTGTCATGTTTGTTATGCACATTTCACATATGGGCGTGGCCTGTCACTCACCTGTCAATCACTTGATGTCTTGCAATCTTCACCTTTCCAAAGCTCCATCTAAGTGTTTATTTATCTGAAAACTATTTTAGAGAAATTTCTTTTAAATATTTCCATATATTGTTGACTTTGTTTATTGTTATTATTTATACAAACAAAAGGAAAATAATTTATTCCTCTTGAGCAGGAATGCATTGTTCGCTGAGGGTAAGAGTATTTACTGAAATTCCATTTAATTTTTCTTTTACCGATATTCAATAAGATATAAAGTGAAGTCTGTATGTACATGATTAACATTTGCATTCCACATTGATCCCATCTTCCGGAGGCAAGATCGTCCACTAGCCTTTTTATCAAAGTGTAGAAACTAGGCTTTGATGTAGGCTTGTGGATGTTCTTGCCTCCGGAAGATGCATTCATCCATGCTTACATATCGCTGTAACAGGACAAGAACGACAGATATGCTTTGTGTCTTCTTATGGAACTAGATATTTTTTTGTAAAATAAACATTAATTTATTGTAGCCTGATAATGCAGTTTAATCAAAATGGTTAATTTGTTTCTATTTTGCTGTATTTAATACATCATGATGCTAGAGGCTGGAGGAGATCCATGTATATAAGTATACTAGATAGTGATCCTTGGAAGACTCTTGTCTTTTCGTACAGAAAAACTGTAGATGGTCTAAGGAAGACATATTTTTATATGAAATTGTGATAGAGTGTGTCATGGTCTTGTTATCATATCTTTCATGAACAAATAAAACTGATTTATAGAGTGTTTTACATTTGTTTTTTTCAAACTGTTTGTGGAGTAGGGCTAATGTTTGTGGAACACACGGTTGAGCAGTTCGAGTCTCTTTGTTTAGGGTTTGTGGGAGACAGTCAGGGGAAGAGTAACTCTTTTGAGAGGCATTTATAAGTTGGAGTACTAAGTAAGGATAGGACATATGGATAAACAACTTCTTTATTAATTTAGGAGCGACGGTGTAGGTTGGTTGCTTGATAACGGTGTTAGAACCTACACAGAAACATCACTCCTAATTGTAATAGAAGTTGTTCATCCATATGTCTTATCCTTACTTGGTGGAACTGTACTTTAATTTTTGGTAGATGTCACTTGTTGAGTACAATGCTGTTCAGTATCCAGTTTGTACCATGGCGTTTCATTCACACCAGGGAATCAGGATGTCTGCCTGGTGTAGTGGATACAGTGTCTGCCCCAAGAGCAGAAGGTCGGGGTTGGATCAAGGGCCAGTCATACCAAAAGACGTTAAGAGATATTTTTTTAACAACGTCTAGGCCAGGCCCCTTTAACGACGCCTAGTCCAGGCCCCTTTAATGGCATCTTGGCCAGGCCCCTTTAACGACATCTAGGCCAGGCCCCTTTAACGGCAATCTAGTGATTGTTATGATGAACATCGATCCACGCAATTGGGATACGATGACATGCATCAACCAAGTCCGTTAGCCTGACCACCCGATCCCGTTAGTCGCCTATTATGACAAGCATAATCGCCTCTTACGACAAGCATGGATTGCTGAAGGTTCATTCTAACCCGGTTCTTCACGGGTCCAGGGGAGCACGAACAAGCACTAACCATAAAAAGTGAGTGAGTGAGTATGGTTTTACGCCGCTTTTAGTAATATTCAAGCAATATCACGGCGGGGGACACCAGAAATGAGCTTCACACATTGTATCCTGTGTGGAATCGAACCCTGTCCTTCGGCTGGACGAGAGAACGCTTTTACCACTACGCTACTCCAAAGCCTCAGTGAGTGAGTGAGTCTGCTTTTAACAACATCACAGTAATATCACGACGCGGACACCGGAAATGGGCTTCAATGTTCTCATGTGGCGAATCGAACCCGTTCTGGCTTCCATGACGAGCGAACACTTTTACCAGTAGGCTACCCACCCGCCCCCATTCACAACTGAAATGGATGCTGTCAGTACTCATCTATAGACTGCATTAGATATCATTAAATTCATACTGTCACAAATACCACAGTGACCTATAAACAGGCTAAGCTTCTTCTCGTGAAATGTCACTGGGACGTCAATACCGTCGGGTGTTCCCGCTCGTATGTCTGTTAGTGCTACACGAAACATGGATTCCAGATTAAACGGCAGCGACAACGGCTACGAATGAGACACGTAACCATCCGAGACAATCCGTTGCGAAAAACACTTTTGTGAGACAGAATAATCTTACCCGAGTCATATGGCGTGGGATCAGATATACACGGATCAGTTGTGTTATTGGCTACACGTATGAGAAAGTAACATAATAATAAAAATAAAAATAATGATAATAGTAAATCCTACCACCCTCGCTCTTCCCTCAATCGCTGCGGTTAGAATTGTATTGTACCCTTTTGCTCACATTTATTTGTCTGATGATCCTCTTATGAAGAATGTCTCATGATGAAAACAAGGCATTCCACAGTTTTCGTAAACGAGCCAAGGATGTCGGACATAATCTCAATGTTGATTTTGTTGATGGTGCTGTACTGCTGGACGGTACAGAAATGAGTGTCAATCAAGTAAAGTGCCATATCAAATCGGCCTAGACTCAGTTTTTCAAGGAGGCTATGTGAACGACCACTGCATCGATTTATGTGCAGAGTGTTGAGAAGGTAGGCAACCCTGCAGAGTCCTTCGCTTGGATGAGTTCGGCTGGCCTGAAAAGTGAAACAGAAGGCTTTCCCTTTGCTGCTCAGGACCAGTCACTTCTCACTCGAAACCGTCAATGTGTGATTTTGCATCAAAATGTAAATATGAAATGTAGATTATGTAATGAATTTAATGAGACTGCCCAACACATTGTCAGTGGATGCCCAGCTTTGGCACAAACACAGTATTTTAAGCGGCATGATGGAGTGGTTCATTTTATTACCGTCTTCGCCATGCTTGTGGTTTTGACACAGAGATCCATCCATGGTACGACCCAGAATATGTAGAGGGCGTCATTGAAAATTATAAATACAAAATTCTTTGGAATAGGCCAGTATACAGCCTCAGACGTATCCAGGCCAACAAAACTGATCTTGTCCTTTTCATAAATCCAAATCCTCGTTTTCGAAATGTCACGATTGCATCCCAAGTACCGAGTTGTCCGACTCCCCATTGTTCTTGGTGCCTTAGGTTTGATACCTCCAAGTCTGTTGACTGACTTTGGGAGAGTACCCGGGTATGCTGCAAGGATTACAGCCCTTCTGACAATCTGAGTAATGCAGAAAGCTGCAGTGTTGGGGAGTCTTCACATTCTCCGAAAGGTTCTGGGTGGGTTTGACCGGGCAGTGCCTCCTGGGAGAAGTCCCATTCGTTGTCTGGGCTGCGTGTAGAGTGGACAAGGGCCCTGAACTGATGATGAGCCTAACCAGCCTGACTGTACCAGGATCACCCAAACCCTCTTTGCTGCATTTTTTAAATTTTAATCTGTAATAATAATTGTGCTTTAAATTTGCATTACCGGATGCCCGGGGTATATACCAGTACAAACCAAGCTGCCCGTAAACCTAGTTAATTTTGTAATACAATTGTTAATTGTATACCATTTGTTGGTTGTTTGTTTGTTTCACGCTAAATTCCTTTACCTAGTGATCTCTGGGTTAAGTCATTGTCTGGGAATCGACATGTGATATTATTTACCGAGGTTATCGCGAGGGAGATAATATAAGTGTACGGAGTCAACCAAAAGGATAAAGTCATCTCCACAATATTCTTTTAACACAGTGGGTGGTTAATATTTGTCCTCCGGTAACCATATACATGTAAGTCATATTCTCATATGATCGACCATGGACAAATGACCTTCCGACAGAAATTTACCATTTTCTCAGTGACCAAAGTTAATAAAATTGAGTTGAGATGCATAGCGCTGGTATCAGCCATGTAATCCAATACTCACTGGGGCCTAGTCTCACCCGGAACCCGACATACATTACATGTAATCCAATACTCACTGGGGCCTAGTCTCTCCTGGAACCCGACATACATTACATGTAATCCAATACTCACTGGGGCCTAGTCTCTCCCGGAACCCGACATACATTACATGTAATCCAATACTCACTGGGGCCTAGTCTCTCCTGGAACCCGACATACATTACATGTAATCCAATACTCACTGGTACTGGGGCCTGGTCTCACCCCCAACCCGACATACATTACATGTAATCCAATACTCACTGGGGCCTAGTCTCTCCTGGAACCCGACATACATTACATGTAATCCAATACTCACTGGGGCCTAGTCTCTCCCGGAACCCGACATACATTACATGTAATCCAATACTCACTGGGGCCTAGTCTCTCCCGGAACCCGACATACATTACATGTAATCCAATACTCACTGGTACTGGGGCCTGGTCTCACCCCCAACCCGACATACATTACATGTAATCCAATACTCACTGGTACTGGGGCCTAGTCTCTCCTGGAATCCGACATACATTACATGTAATCCAATACTCACTGGTACTGGGGCCTGGTCTCACCCCCAACCCGACATACATTACATGTAATCCAATACTCACTGGGGCCTAGTCTCTCCTGGAACCCGACATACATTACATGTAATCCAATACTCACTGGGGCCTAGTCTCTCCTGGAACCCGACATACATTACATGTAATCCAATACTCACTTGGGCCTAGTCTCACCCGGAACCCGACAAACATTACATGTAATCCAATACTCACTGGGGCCTAGTCTCTCCTGGAACCCGACATACATTACATGTAATCCAATACTCACTGGGGCCTAGTCTCTCCCGGAACCCGACATACATTACATGTAATCCAATACTCACTGGGGCCTAGTCTCACCCGGAACCCGACATACATTACATGTAATCCAATACTCACTGGGGCCTAGTCTCTCCTGGAACCCGACATACATTACATGTAATCCAATACTCACTGGGGCCTAGTCTCTCCAGGAACCCGACATACATTACATGTAATCCAATACTCACTG